GAGTTCTAGTATCAGTTTCATGGATTGTCCACTCTTACGGATGTTCCGGATCTTCCGGAGGATAGTCCCATGGCCATCCAGGTACATGTTTATGTCACGACCCCAAATATTTTTTTATATCACAGTTCCTTATGTTTTCAAAAAACCCGCAGAGCTTTAGGATCAGGTTCATGGATTGACCACTCTTACGGATGTTCTGTATTTTTCGAGGACCATTTCGTTGTCTCCAGGATCCATATAAAGGAACCATGACTGTATTCTGGCTAATTGTGAACATTTGTGCCCATTAATCTAAATTACAGATCTTGCGCCACTTGCAAAACCCTACAAACACACCTTTCAAAAAAACGTGTAACAACTATTTTCGCTTTTTAAAAAAGTAGACGATTCTATTTTCAAACTTTTTAAAATCAAAATCATCTACAAACCCTAGGAATTCTAAAGCTACCACAATTTTTGAAATTCGTTAAGAAATGGCTAAGTTATGCCATTGCAAACTTGCCGTTACACGTTTTTCTGAGGCTTCGTAGTCGGCGTAAAGTTTTTTACCCACCGTGTTCGGAGTGTTAAACTTTTTCCCAACTTAATCCAAACTTGTCAGAACGGGTTTGACATTTTCTGCTTTAGCATAATGCATAAAAAAAAACTGAAATGCTGCATTTGGAAATTCAAAAAAGTACGTATTTTTGTTAAAATTTAGGCTTTTTGTTCAGCCAAGATGGATCGTTCCTTTGAATATTAGGCTTGGATTTAGTTGAATAGACCTTCCAGAATCCATACGTCTGATACGTCTAGTTAAAGTTTTTGAAGCATGCACAATTGTTGAGAAATGTGGGTTCAAATTCACAAAGTAGGTATTTTCATATCAATTTGGGTTTCCTGTTCTGCCATGTTATATTTGAATTGAGCCACTGCACACTGGGGACAAAATCGAAACAATGTGTAAAAATTCAATAACTTCGGTGCTCGCTGGAACAAGAGACTAAAAAATAGTCATTCTTTTAGAAAAAAGTCTCAGAAATCGATTGGAGTGGGTTTCATCTCGGGCACGATAGGGTAAGTTGGAGTGTTTCACAGTTTTGCCCTAAAATCTCCTATTTTGCATGATTTGAATGCTGTATCTCAAGAAACAGATGGTATAGATGGATGATTTCTTCGGCAAAGTTAATCAGGAGGTCAAGGACTGTTGGATGATGGACAGAAAAATTCGGAATTCTTCCACTAGGCGGCGCTAGTGAGCATTCGAAGTGTATATGTTTGTGCTGCTGTATCTCAAGATCCTGACTATATAGACGGATGATTTCTTCGGCAAAGTTGATTAGGAGGTCAAGGACTGTTGAATGATGGACAGAACAATTCGGAATTTCTTCACTAGGAGGTGCTAGTGAGCATTGAAAGTGAATATATTTGTGCTGCTGTATCTCAAGACCCTGACTATTTAGACGGATGATTTCTTCGGCAAAGTTGATCAGGAGTTCAAGGACTGTTGGATGTTTTTTCGTAAAATTTAGAGTCGGTAGTTTTTGTTTAGGATTTTTATAAAATATTCATACAAATATCAAAGGCAAATCTTCTTCTAATCGCGGTTGATGCTATTGATCATTTAGTAACATGAACAAAAACAGATTTCATCACTAGTATGTCTTGCTTTACATTAACGCATTTCCACGCTTTTACTAATTTTCATTCAAGTTCAATTTAAATTGGTTTGTAATCCGTTGTTTTTTGAAAATTTAGCACAATTTTCCGAACTGTTTTTAATGTTCGATGGTATCGTATTAAAAAAGTTTCTTCGTTAATTTATGCTGCTTTCTAAAATTAAGCACGCCCATGGATTCTTACCTCGAATATGCTTTCAAACCACTCTGAATTCTACTTAAAGAACCGATCCTTACTGTGGGTTTTTGACCATCGCTGATTAAATTGACCAATCCAGTTTTTAACACCTTGCGCAACAGCCGCAGGTGCTTTCGACAGAGCCCTAGACACAAAGTCAAGTAAACGGTTTTTATCTCGACCAGACGCAAAATATTCCTCAACAATATTTTTATTTGACAGCATTTTGCTTAATGAAATTCAGTGGAACACACTTAACACCACGTAAGAACTGCACTACACTGAGCTACTGTCACGCAAGAAACAAGAGTAAATAAATAATTCTTTTGGAATGGGTTCCGATGACGACATTTTTGTGTCAAAGTGGTCTTCGTGGTCGAGTGGTTAGCGGCGTCACCCGTCTAACGGCTATTTTGCGTGTGCCATGGAGTGAGGGTTCGATTCCTGCTCCAGTCGGTGGAATATTTTTTAAAGATATAATATATACAATAATGACCCAATTTTATTAGCCTCCTTTTTGAAAATATTTTCTAATATTCTACTAAACCCATGCGCTATTTCAATGGTTTTATTGCACCAAAGTTTACCCTAAATGTTTAAGATGTTCTAGGTTCACCAAATTGTCCTCAAAACTTGTTCATTAGGCTACCATCTCGCATTTTAGTTTGATTACATTCATAGATCAGAGGGCCTCTATAAGCTCGGTCGGTAGAGCCTGCGACTATAAAGCAAACCATGCTGGAGGTGGCTGGGTTCGAATGCCGGTTGGTCTAGGATTTCAGATTGGAAAATTTCTCGACTTCCCTGGGCATAGTATATTATTGTACTTGCCACACAATATACACATGTAAAAATCGAACAGGCTTGGAAAGCTTTCAATTAACAACTGTGGAAGTGCATCTAGAGCACTAAGTTGAGAGCAGGCGTTAAGTTACAGTTGAGACGTAATAGCCAGAGAAGATCATAGATATCACGAACTAGTGGAGGAATTCCAAATTGTTCTGTCCATCATCCAACAGTCCTTGACCCCTTGATCAACTTTGTCCAAGAAATCATCCGTCTAAATAGTCAGGATCTTGAGATACAGCAGCACAAACATATACACTTCGAATGCTCACTAGCGCTGCCTAGCGGAAAAATTCCGAATTTTTCTGTCCATCATCCAACAGTCCTTGACCTCCTGATCAACTTTGCCAAAGAAATCATCCGTCTATTGGTCTAACTTACCCTATCGTGCCCGAGATGAAACCCACTCCAATCGATTCCTGAGACTTTTTTCTATAAGAATGACTATTTTTTAGTCTCTTGTTCCAGCGAGCACCGAAGTTATTGAATTTTAACACATTGTTTCGATTTTGTCCCCAGTGTGCACTGTATCGCTTTGCTATGTAATGGCTGAATATGAGTATTTTTGGAATCGGGGTGATATCTAGAGGCCGAAAATCAATGTCCGATGCCATCCTGAAATCCGAAATGGTGGCTTCTGGTTTCAAATACCCTACATATGGCGTTGGGTATCGATTTTCAGCATCTACGTGTAGTTTCCGTTGAGCAAATATCCATATTGTAGTATATTTAAACACCACAACAATGTGGTGTTTACATCTGTACTGATTTGCTAGAACTGTACTAAAAAGAAGTCAGCATAATGCAATGTGTTGTTTACATATACGCTGGTTAACTAGCGCTGGTGTACTGGAATTGTACTAGAAAGAAGCCAGCATAATGCAAACAAGGCGTCAGCATCTACCAGTATGAGATTTCAGCAACAACTGAAATTCGTGCTAGCTGGTTGAGCTAGTAAACTAGCATAAGTGTAAACAGTTCAATAGGCCCTAATCCAATGTTCAGCTTCATTTTGGTTTCCCAATCCTGATTTATTCTTAAGCCAGTTTTTCAGATAACATTATGGCTATTCTCACTTCATGCTAAAAAGCGTGACTCACCAACCAGTCGCTCATTTGCACGTTTCTTTTTTTACAGCCGTTTTCTCCCGCTCGCAGGCAGGGTCAGCTCGTGAGCCGTGAATAAATTTTCACGCGGAAGGCAAGTTATCGCGACGCCACGCTGCATTGCCGTGAGATGAAAAAGTGACGTAAACGCCTGTATGGCCAGCTTTAACTTTTCACCATATTCGATTTCTGCATCACACAAAAACTTGTGTGTGTGTGTCATCCTCAACTGCTCAACCTGCTGGTGGCGTTGGACAAATAGTCGGAATAATTTGATCAAATCTCATGCTCTGTAGTGGTGCCGTTAATATTGTGAATATCATTACTTTAAAAAGAATAACTTTTGAGGCAAGATAAGGAGTCCACAACAGATACAGCAAAACATCACTTAGACGTCCTTATTTACACTGTCCATTCAGGGCTAGAAGGAAAAGAAGATTCACCGCAGCCAACTGAAGCTTGAACCGGGTAATTGGGAAACCCACAATACCCGCGCCAGTAAACAATGCCCTGTCGCATGCAAATCTAAAAAAAAAAAAAAACGACGATTTCCCTCTCGACTGATGTTGATACCCCGAAATAAGACGGAATTTCACGCGGAAACCTTTTCTGCACCACAAAAACATCAAATTGCAAATCGGACACCTTTATGTATTATCCTAAGCTGCAATCACTCAATCTAGTTCCCAGCAGAACTATCGAACGCAGAATTCTAGACAAAGTGACATAAGCCATACAGTTTGCAAATTTTCTGAATCATTACGAGGTTTTCTGAACAATTCACTACTGGATTTACGTCACATTGTCATACAACGGCAGCGCAGTGCCAGACAGCCATACTAAACCAAAATAGAGATCAAGCTATAAACACAACAAACACGCCAGATACTCTATGAGAATAATGATGTATGAGAATAGTAACGAAAAAGAGAGACATTCAGTTGGTTTGAGTGAAACGCAATTTGTGTAAATGGAATTCCATTTATTTCGTAACTGTTCTACAGAATGTTGAAATTTTAACATTTTAAAAATGAATTCCTCTTTTAATTAAAATTAAAACCCATTTTCCGTTCTCCATTCAAACAACCTCTGTTTCCTAACCTAAAATGTATCGTAGTTACTCTCATCCACCGCCAACTGAGCGAGAGAGACTCGCAACGCATCTGAGCTGTGCATAGCCAGGAGCGAGCACAACACAGTCAATCAGTACACTCTCACGCGACCAGTCATAACAACAAACCGAATCGAGTCGTTCGTTCGTTCCGTCCCGTCCGTCGGCTGTCAGTGTGCTAATCATTTCGAAATAGTTTGCCATTTTAAAACCTACAGCTACAGCTCTAACCAGTGATAATCTGCCCCGAAAATGACATCCAACTGGGACAAGTTTGTGCTGCTGCTGTGGAAGAACTTCCTGATCCACAAACGGCACCGTTGGCGGACGTGTTTCGAGATCGGATTGCCAATTTTGGTGTTTTCAGTTGTGCTGCTGTTGCCATCGCATCCGCAAACAAGCGGGCCGCAGCGATACCCATCGCTCAGTGTGGATGGGTTGAGCGACAATGGTGCCAGGTGAGTGAAAGTGCTGCGGGTGGACTGGAAGGGGTAGTTGGGAGGCATTTGTTTGATAACATACATTGAAGCCCCCCCGATTCCAAAGCGAGAGTGGATACATCAATGTTGATATCGATGAAAAGTGCTTCCGTTTCCACTCTGTGCAAGCGTTTTATTTGCGGTGACGTCATCGTGGTAAAGCACCGACCGTGTGTTTGTTCAGCACTAAATGAAGTGGGATGATTCACGCGAAATAGTTTTTGCAATTTCTTGAATGTTGTCGTTTTTTATATCATTATAATAAGGATTTTCAGGTTGGTTCATCTTCTTACGACTGGAGTGTTTTTTGACAGTTGAACATATTTTGTCCATTATCCCATATAACCCATAGACTGTCATATTGATTTTTAAATCAAGATTTAGAGCAGAGCCTCTTCACTCTTTGGAACTTATACACTGAGGAAACTATCCCTTTAATTTTCATAAGCTGCATCGTATGAACACATCGAAATGTGAGCTCCATCCAATTTCATAAGTATATTATGAATTCATACTCCATCTACAGCATTTATGGTTGTATACAATAAAAGGTGTACGAAAAACATGTGGTTTCCATGGTTTCCATAAACCTATCATATGAATTGGGTTCTTTAATGGTATTGAGATAAATGCATATTCGTAATCTGCATTAAAAATGGAACCCAAACCCAAAATTTCATCAATTTTTCTACATTGGAACTATTTTAAATTAGTACGATTACATTAGCAAAAATCACCTTATTAGCGCCCCTCGGTGTCACTTTGTATGGGAGCGAGCTGTCAGGTTGTTAGTTTAGTGTCAAACAGTGAAGTTATTATTTTGCTTTAAATCTTGATTTAAAAATCAAGATGAATGTATGTGGGTTCGAAAAAAATATAGCTGTGCTCAGAAAACGAAGCTCTTTCGGATGATATATAAAAACCGATAAATTTTTCAAAATTAAAGAACCCAATTGTCAAAAAGTCATAAGACGTTCGTATGAAAAGTAGTAGGTCAGTGCAAATTACATCAACAACAACAAAGATGGTGGATCGAGTTTAGCAACGTTGCACAAGATTTCGTAAACCTGTAAGTTAAATCAAACTCAAGCTATTTATGTTTTGTAATCTATAGTTTTGCATTTGCAGATTAGTTTCTACTGCATCTGATTCCATCGCACTTTGCTGCACTGGCTGACCAAGTAGCTTCCCCAATTTAATCAAAGTCAAACGCTAATGGAACGAAATGTTGGTCGGATCCATCGAATATCTATCGCAGCAACCGTTTGGACAGGACAGCCCGTAAAATGTTCTAGAACATACTTACAAATCAGGCTAAGGCCTTGTTGTCCTATTCTGTCCGAAGAAGTCGTCTCCACTCTACTCGATCCATGGCCACACTTCGCCAGCCTCGTAGACTGCGAAGGTTTCGCAGGTCATCTTCTACTTGGCAGTAGGCAAGGTGTCACTGCGCGCTTCTTCTTTTTGTTCCTGTTGAGTCACTTTCGAGAACCATTTTCACTGGGTCGTCGTCCGGCATTCCGTCGTGCGCTGTCCACCATAGTCGCCAATTTTTGCAGTGTTGACGATGGATGGTTTTCCCTGCACCTGGTGAAATTCATGGTTCATTCACCTCCTCAACGTTTCGCCATCTATCTGCACTCCACCGTAGATCGTACGCAACACCATCCGTTCGAAAACAACTAGTGTTGGTCCAGGTCTGGTGGCTGTAGAGGACCAATGGTCTAATCAGCTTCTTTATTCGACCGTAGTCCAAAGCAGGCACGGCAGGGGCCAAAATTCATCTTAGATTTTCTCGGCGGTCACCAGCGAGCCCAAATACACGAATTTGTCCATCACCCCGATTCCGTCTCGGGGTTCTGAACTCGGAATGGGTGGCTAGCAATGTCTTTCCTAGAACCTCTTCTTCTCAAGTATTTCGTCATCGATGCGTTGTCCTATCCGCCAAGCTTCAGCCTTCAGTCTGATATATGTTTCCGTCATCGTCTCAAAGTTCCGTGCCATGATGTCGATGACATTGGCGAAGCCAACGAGCTTGATGGACTTCCTGAAAATCATGCCACTCGTGTCTATCCGAACTCTTCTTATCGCACCTTCTAACGCGATGTTAAATAGCAGATATGAAAGTCCATCACATTGCCGTAACCCCCTTCGAGATTCAAAGGGATTCGAGAGTGTCCCCGATACTCGAACAACGTACATCACTCGATCCATCGTCGCCTTGACCAATCGCGACAGTTTATCTTGAAATCCGTACCCGAGCATAATCTGCCATAGCTGATCTCGATCGATTGTGTCGTATGCGGATTTGAAATCGATGAACAAATGTTGAGTGGGCACGTTGTATTCGCGGCATTTCTGCAGAACCTGCCGAATCGCAAAAATTTGGTCCGTGGTAGCACGGGCAACCATGAATCCCGCCTGGTATTGCCCTACGAACTCTCTTGCAAATGGTGACAGGCAGCAGCATATAACTTGGGAGAGTACCTTGTAGGCAGCGCTCAGCAGTGTGATCCCGCGGTAGTTGAAGCAATCGAACTTGTCGGCCTTTTTGTAGATTGGGCATACAACACCTTCCATCCACTCCTCTGGTAATATCTCCTCCTCCAAATCTTGGCAATTACCCAGTGCAGCGCTCTAGCCAATGCTTACCACCGTATTTTAATAGCTCACTTGGTAGTTGATCTACACCAGTTGCTTTGTTGTTCTTCAGCCGACCGATGTCCTCCTCAACTTCTCTTCTGCGCGTGCTCCCAGGTATGTTGCCGTGCCTCTTTCGATTTCTGCTGTATCACCGTTGAGGATCATGAAAGCAATCTTAAAGCCCTCAGTTCACATACAAGTATCCAACATGGTTCAAGATTGTTCGAATGGCTTATACTTCCATGGGTCTTGATCACTTCTCCGAAATTTTCTTCAGCCTAAAGTCTAAAGCGCCTAATGGAATAGATGCATTCCAATGATCTCTTCGGAGCAACCTAAACGTAAAAATGTCATAACTGTTTTACCTCTCTCAGAATCCCAAACAGTCTAAAGCGGCTAGCGTACACCCCCAACAACGGAGTATTCGAAGAAATCGTTGGCAAAGCTTGCTCTGCGCTTGGGATACCGACGTGCGATGGATTCAACAGCTCCCTTGAAATGCAAAGGGCCCTAGTCAACGCCAGCTACCTATGCGGAATCGATTTCGGAGATAATTCAAAAGTAAGTCTTCAATCAACTTACCCAATGGAATCCTTTTTCCGTAACCTTCTTTTTGTTCTTGCAGAGCATATCAAAACTATCCAATGCTACAACCTTCAAATTGCGCTTTCCGGCCGAGCTCCGATTCCCATCGCAGGGTCAGCCGTTGAACGACTGGAACACGAATAACCTGGCGACTACATTCTCCGTTTCCAATATCGCCCCCCTGATAGCCGATGGAGGACCTCCGAGCTACTGGGAGGAACAATTTCTCGCCGTCCAAACAGCCGTATCACGAGCCTTGATCGGCAAACTTGCCCCGGAAGCGAATTTACCACCGTCCATGAACATTCAGGTAAGATGATCGTTCATTGGTAATGCAATTGCTATTACACTATGTTATTTTTCGCAGCGACTCCCCTATCCAACCACGGTAGACGATGACCTGTTCGCAATTTTGCCTATCGTGTTGCCCCTATGGCTCCGCCTCGTCTTTTTCTACTTCTTTATCAACACCGTCAAGTACATTGCAATGGAAAAGGAACGGCAGCTCAAGGAATCCATGAAGCTGATGGGCCTACCCGGTTGGATCCAATGGGCCGCGTGGTACGTCGTACTCCTCCTTCTGACTCTCATCCCGATAACAGCCATCACTGTCATGCTGCGCGTCTCTGTTTTCCCATATTCAAATTGTTTCCTCGTTTGGGCTTTCCTAACCCTGTACTGCTCGGCGGTGATCTGTTTCTGCTTTCTGGTTAGTGTCTTCTTCAACAAAGCTTCCATGGCCGTTACGCTGGCATCGTTGCTCTGGATCGCTTCGTTCATAGCCCTTCCCGAGAATGCACCGTTATGGGGAAAAATTGTCCATTCGCTGCTGACCAATCCGGCGATGGGCTTTGGAATGGATGACATAATCCGACTGGAAATGGCCAGGGTCGGATTGACGTGGAAGACATTATTCACGACGACCGAGCTTAACAATTCGTACACGCTTTCTGTCTCGATTGCGATGCTGTTGTCTAACATCGTGCTATATTTGATTCTCACGATCTACCTGGAGCAGATCATGCCCGGAAAGTTTGGTGTGGCCAAACCTTGGTATTTTCCTTTAACGAGGGACTTTTGGGGTGCGGGTTATTCGAAAGAGAACGATGAATTGCTTGAACCGATGGAAAGATCGAGTTACTTTGAGGAGGAGCCTCAGACCAGTGGAGCTGGAGTACAGATCCGGAACCTGCGCAAAGTCTACGGAGCTGACAAGGTGGCGGTGGGTGGATTGAATTTGAACCTATACGAAGGCCAGATTACCGTATTGCTGGGACATAATGGGGCGGGAAAAACAACTACCATGTCCATGCTGACTGGGATGTTCTCGCCGAGTTCAGGAACGGCGTTGATCAATGGGTACGATATTCGAAGAAGTATGGATGATGCACGAACATCGATGGGTTTCTGTCCACAGCATAATATACTGTTTGACGAATTGACAGTTCACGAACACTTGGAGTTTGCTGCACGGCTGAAGGGCGTTGCGCCAGATCAAGCACGACCGGAAGTAGATAGGTATATCAATCGGTTGGGGTTGATGGAAAAGGCTCGAACGGAGTCGTCTACGCTTTCGGGAGGTATGAAGCGGAAACTATCCGTTGGTATGGCAATGTGTGGTAGTCCAAAAGTGGTGCTCTTGGATGAACCGAGTACCGGGGTTGATCCTACCGCGAGGCATGCCCTATGGGATTTCCTACTCGAGGAGAAGCAAAATAAGACAATCCTATTGTCAACGCATTACATGAACGAGGCAGATGTATTGGGCGACCGGATTGCTATCTTGGCTGATGGTAAACTGACGGCCAGCGGGTCGCCGTTCTTCTTGAAGAACGCATTTGGAGTTGGCTACCGATTGGTTTGTGTGAAGGGAAGGAAATACTCTGAAACATGTCTACTGGAGTTACTTCGGAAGCATATTCCAAGTGTGGCGATCGATAGCGAAAGCTCGTCTGAGGTGCAGCTTCTACTTGCAAAAAAGTACATTCAAAGTTTTGAACCAATGCTGAAGCAGTTGGAAAGCAATATGGAATCGTGTGGAATTATGAGCTACGGTGTATCTTTTACCACTTTGGAAGAGGTTTTCATGAAGTAAGATCAGAAAATGCAGAAACAGATCCTGGGTTAAAGCATTTGTTATCATTTCAGAGCTGGTACTGACTCTCATCTTCGACAAAGTGATGACGGGAATCTCCTGGCCGAGGATGTGGTTCAGCTGGAAGCTAGAACAGGTAAAGGATTCCTTAAACGGGTTAATCATGGTGAAATCAAAACAACAAAATCCTATTTTTAGCCACCGAACCGCACAGTCTACTCATCGGATCCAACGTTCTTCAGAGTGACGTGATAAGCCAAATCAAAGCACAGGTGCTAAAAAAGTTCCTCTGTACCAAGCGATCATGGATGCAATTCTGTTGGCAGACGTTTATAGTACCGATCGTGATTATGATCCTCTTCGCCTTTCCCATACAACTGAAGACGGACGACTCTCTTCCACCGTTGGAGCTATCATTAGATACTTACAGAAGTTCACTTAGCGTTCTCGAAAGGTTCCACAACTTATCGACTGTAGAATTCGAATACAAACGCTTGTTCCGTAATGGTCAACAGTTGGATATTATCGATGGGGACATTGAGTCATACATTTTGAACAAGGTAAGGCTTTCTTTCTTGAGGCTACCACATCTAATTCCGTATCTAATTTTAGTTCAACCAGTCCATTTTGGAGTACAACTCTCGGATGTTAGTGGGAGCTAGCTTCTCCAACGACTCCTACACTGGATGGTTCAACGCCAAGGACTTCCACTCAGCCCCACTGGCGTTGAATCTGATCTTCAATTCGATTCTTCACACCGTATGCCCATCCTGCAGCATCACACCCATCAACCATCCCCTTCCTCGGGCAGCAAAACACAACGGAGATCCCTCGGTCAATGGCGATTATCTTAAATTCCTTAACATTGTCTTGGCGATCGTATTAATCATGGCGTACGTTCCATCCTCCTACGTGAACTTCTACATCCGGGAGCGAACCACTCGGGTGAAATTGCTCCAGGTCGTGAGTGGTCTCAAGACGGAACTCTATTGGTTCGTCAACTTCATGTGGGACCTCGTGGTCTTCAAGCTCAGCTGCCTGGTCATCTTAGTAATGCTGTTTGGGTACCAAGTCGACGGTTGGAGTAATCCTCAACAACTTGCTACTCTACTGTTCATCTTTTTCATCTTCGCATTCGCTACTCTAGCAATGATCTACCTGTTCTCTTTCTGGATTAGTAATCCCGCCTCCGGTGACTCCAGAGTTCTGCTCATCCTCGGAATTGGTGCGATAGGTCTACTAATCCTGCGGCTCTTATTGGATAACATCGGATTTAACAAATTGGCCGATCTCATCGGCTACGGTTTTATGTTCATTCCAACCATTTCTCTATTTCTCACCTTGGAAAAGTTCAACGATTACGTCAACTTCGAGGCAAAATGCAAAACCATATGTGACGAGAATCCCAGCTGTACCATGGATCAACTATGCAAACAACAGCCACAATGCTGCTCGGATCTCTTCAACTTCTCTTCCAACGGAATGCTTAAAGAACTTAGCTTCATGATCGCTACGGGAACCATATGCTTCTTGCTCGTCTGGAGTATCGAGCATAAACTGTTCTACCGCCTATGGTCCAAGATCAATCCAACAAAAGACTTCCGCTACGCAGTCCCCCAACAGCACATGGACTCGGATGTCCTGCTGGAGAAGAGTCGAGTTTCGCAGATGACTGACTCCGACATCGGTACCCACAGTCTCGTAATGCGCAACCTAACCAAGAATTTTGGTCCCGTTTCCGCCGTCAAGTGGCTATCTCTTGGAACGCATCACTCCGAATGTTTCGGGCTGCTTGGGGTTAACGGAGCCGGTAAGACTACAGCATTCCGAATGATGACCGGTGACGAAACCATTTCCTTCGGAGACGTCTGGATCAACGGAGTTAGCGTCAAGTCGAACATATCGGGAGTCTACCAACACGTTGGGTACTGCCCTCAGTTCGACGGGCTACTGGACGAGCTAACCGGAATGGAAACCCTACGGATTTTCGCAATGCTTCGTGGCATCGCTGGAAGTGAAATTGGTGCGGTTGTACAATCGCTTGCCGAAGAATTGGGACTTACGAAGTATCTGAATAAACCAGTCCGAGCATACAGTGGAGGGACGAAACGGAAGCTCAGTACGGCACTGGCGTTGATCGGTAGTCCTTCGGTGATCTTTCTCGATGAACCGACCAGTGGGATGGATCCTGGAGCGAAGCGGCAACTGTGGAATATGATCAACCGATTGCGGGACGCCGGAAGGACGATCATCCTGACTACGCACAGCATGGACGAGTGCGAAGCGTTGTGCACCCGCTTGGCCATTATGGTCGGTGGGGAATTTAAGTGCCTGGGATCTACGCAACATTTGAAGAACAAATTTTCTGGCGGCTTTCTGTTGCACATCAAGATGGTGCAGGGCCCAGGAAAGGATGAACTGTTGTTGCGATCGGCGGCGGTGAAGGCGTTCGTTGCGGACCGCTTCCGGGATGCGGTATTGAAGTATGGCCATTGGATGCATCTTTTTTGAAAGGTATGATCGAAAATAATGTTTCCTTGTAATTTCAGGGAGGATTTGCAAAACTCGCTCAGCTACCATATTCCACGAAGCGATCTCACCTGGTCCGCCATGTTTGGTATTATGGAAGCATCGAAGGAGCTGCTGGGCATCGAAGAGTATTCACTGGGGCAGACGACATTGGAGCAAGTGTTCTTAGTCTTTGCGAACAGTAACAATTTCTGATATGTGTAGGATTTGTTATTTTAAAATTTTGAAACCACTTACCAGTATATGAATAGTCAAAGACTTCGGGTTTACCTGGAATTAAGCATAAATGTTTACAATTAGTATCAATCAGACCATTGCCAAAAGCAGTCTTGTGATTATTAGGCTCTCATTGTAGTAATCTAAATTTATAACCAAATATAGCAAGTGCTTCGAGATGTTTAAGTGTTTTAAATCATTACAAATATCATAATCCCTGGTAATGAAGTGCCGTTTTATGCATATGCGTCCCATGTAACTTTTGGATGTTTTTAACTTGTTGAAGATAGCGGTCAAAAAGTGATGTATGGCGAACTTTTAGCAAATAGTCTGAAATTTTATAAAAAAATTTAAATAAAATAAAAAATCGGTTTCTACACTCTAAAAAAATATATTTAAAAATTAAAAGTCATTTTCCCAAAAATGCTACCCCTCAGATTTGCTTGATATTTTTTCTCATGAAAGGCAATATAATTACCTAACTTTTCTTCATACATCGCAAAGTGGGCGCTTTTAAGGAAAAAAAGTTGTTCGAACAACAACTTTTTCATGTTAATTTTTTTTAGCGTGTTTCACTCAAAGTCGAATAGTAATACGCGCACAACCTTATTAAAATTCGATTAAACTTTATGGGTATACTTTTCGATAATCTGGGCGAAATCTAGCCTAACATTTGAAAAGGGTACAGAGAAGTTACCTGCAAATCGTCCAATAAGAGTTCAGAACAAAACGTTCTAATGAGGAACAGCCATCTCAGCATGGTTTGCACTTTCCTGTGATGGATTGTATTATAATATATGCATACACTCTATCCAACTTCTATAAAACCACCCTCAAATTGTTCCAAATCAACAGGTAAACTAAGTAAAAATCACTTAGTATGTTTTATTCATGAAAAGATTTCAATTCATGTATTTGTGATTAATTTAATTAGAAAAATAATCATTCATTTATTTTTATGTATTAGGTGTGTCCATTAGTAAGCAATATGCATATATATGTTTATACCTCATCTCTCAAGTGAATACATATAATAGCGCAGGTAACTTAACGATTATTTAAGACATGCCTAAAATAATCGTTAAGTTACCTGCTATATAGCAGTTATATAACAACGCAGGTAGTCACATGAGAGATATAAGGTATAAACTTAAAGCACCGCAGTCTGTTTCTACCGACATAATCTAATATTTAAGTTTGGTGATATCACAACAATGCTCATAGTTGCTGTAGTGCATAGTTGTTGAAAGTGTAGTGCTGCATAGTTGTTGAAACGAAAAAGTGTTTATATATACAACAATGGAAAAATCCGCTGAATTGATTATTAAAAGGGTGCAATGTAGTGCCAACATAAACAATCCCAATTGCAGCCGCAATAATTTACGTAATTTATCATCAAGTCTCATAGAGAAAATACATTCATGGGGCTTTGATCATCAATTGGATGTAACAATGCGTATTTGTGAATCGTGTCGTGGTATTTTAGTGCACAATAGGACACCTCTCCCGAAAAAGAGGCGATCGGATGGAAAAGAATCAAGCCATGCTCGGAAGTTTGAAGAGCCGCAACCATCAACAAGTCATCAGCAATCAGAACATCAGGAATTTGATGATACACTAGGTAAATAATAATAACTTTAACTGTTTCAACTGTGTGGTTTAAGGATTGTACATCGAAGATACAACTTCATTTTCAACATTTTTTTAGAGCACGAGCTGGATGAACCGCTTATCGTACAAATTTGATCGATTGGTAGGCCAACCTCGGTGAACAATCTATCAAATTTTCACGACTGTACGATATGCGGTTTATGCAGCTCGTGCTCCACAAACATGGGGAAAATTCAGATGCAGCTTCGATGTACCGTAAACGGGGATGTCTTTGATAATGGAGGTAACTTTGATAATGCAGCTAATCCAAAAAGTTATGACTTAATGCTCTTCGTATTCATTATTTTGGAAGGGAACATCGGTTTCCTATCCAAAATATTGCGTACGATGTGCCTTAAGTCATAAATTTTTGGCTTAGCTTAGCTTAGCTTAGCAGCGGCTCATTACAAAAATAAAAAGAATTTTGCCAGTTTGTGCAACTTCAAGTCCAAGTATGGATTGGAAGCAGAATGGCACTTCTTCGCAACGTCTCATGGGAAAGGCCCATGTGACGCAATTGGAGGAACTCTCAAACGAATGGCAAAGAGAGCAAGTCTTGCTCGAGATTATGGAAACACAATCACAACTCCACAAGAACTGTATGACTGGGCAGTTAAACAAACAGATACAAGCATAACAAAATTGAACTTCTGCTTCATATCAAATGATCAATACACAAAGATGTCCGATGAACTCAAGGAGCTGTTCAGTCATGTAAAAACTATACCTGGTACACAAAAATTTCATTGTTTTGTACCTATTTCTCAAAACATAATTTCTACTAAGCGATTTTCACATTCAAAGGAAACTCCGAAAAATTTCACTCTGTTTCCGATAGACTAATAATCAATGAAAAACTCAAATTATGTATGGAGAATTATAGGAAAATAAATTATGCACTAAACAAAAACACTAGAGTTTTCATTTATTAAAACACCATTCGAAATGCAGGAAAATCCTCTGTATTAGGCCCTTTCAAATGTTAGGCTAGATTTTTGTTTTAAGCACGCCCAGATTATCAAAAGGTCAAAATCTTTATGCTCATTAAGTTTCAACGGATTTTAATAAGGTTGTGCGCGTATTACTATTCGACTTTGAGTGAAACACGCTAAAAAAAAATTAACATGAAAAAGTTGTTGTTCGAACAACTTTTTTTCCTTAAAAGCGCCCACTTTGCGATGTATGAAGAAAAGTTAGGTAATTATATTGCCTTTCATGAGAAAAAATATCAAGCAAATCTGAGGGGTAGCATTTTTGGGAAAATGACTGTTAATTTTTAAATATATTTTTTTAGAGTGTAGAAACCAATTTTTTAATTTATTTAAATTTTTTTATAAAATTTCAGATTATTTGCTAAAAGTTCGCCATACATCACTATTTTGTAGGGCTTGTCATTTTTAAGCTATACCGATTTGAAAAAAAATCGACAAAAAACTTTGACCCTTATCAAATGTTAGGCGAGATAAATTTTGAAAAAAATAAGTACTCAAAGTTGCTTAAAATTGCTAAGTCTCCACACCCACAAAGTTTCATAAGGTTCTGAGAGGGTGCTGCCAACTCCGAAGACGAGTTGGCGTGAAATCCGTCACTACTAAATTGGAGAAAGTCGAACCTGGACCCATTGTATTCCTGTTTTAGCTGATCCGTTACCGGTTAGCGAAGGCAGCTGTCCCGGAACAAGAGTCCCCTAGAGAATCAGCAAGCTTTCCTGTAAATCCTGACCATCAGTGTGAGTTAAGTTGGGTCTTGGATTGGGTGCTTTTCGGTCCGCATGACCAACCACCGATCGCGAATCCACGACGTCCCACCACACTCTTCAGCACCAACAGCAGTAACCGGCCGGCCCATCGTACCCACAAACACACCTACCATTGCTGTAAGTTTAATAATAAAAATGTGTTTAACTACGGTTTGCGTAGTGTAGCTTTTTATCTGGTGACTAGACCCTTGATAAGCAAATTTAATTGATAAAAGCCAGCCCTGAGCGCAAAGGGACCTCAAGATCGAGCTTGCCGGGAACAACCAAAAGAGGCCTTGAGATCCCCCCTCAATGGTCCACGCGGCTGGACATTGTAGGAGGGTCCGTCTGATACCCAAAAGATCGGCCATTTCACCATTTTTTTTCCCCCAGATCAACCGAATCAGTAATTGGGTTTGGGAATCAATAGCAACAAACTAACCCCTCACAGGAACTTGTCGAACACATGCCTCGTCAGCCACGGATATAGCCTACCCTACAAACATTTGAAGGAGCATAAGAGCTTATTCGGGCAAAATATGCTTCTTCAGATAAAAAAAAATGGCTTATGCAGCCTTTAATCAGTTCAAATTGTTTGTTGGGGAGTTGGATTTTCGTCGATGTTTCTGTCCACCATCCGTCCGAACTGCACCCAGTTGATACGGTGGTAGTCTTTTTGCATGCAGCTTCTAGCAGAAACCACGTTGACACCGACTTCAGCCACCACCGGTTGGTGGTCGGAGCTGAAATCGTCGTGCGCCTCCGGCTTGGATAGTCCCATGTACGACAGGAAAAAATCCAGGGTGGAGGGATCATCCGCTGAAGAGATGACAGTTGGTTTGCCCGGAAACTGCACAGTGTACAGTCCATGTTGTGCGTGATCGAATAGTAGACATCCGTTCCGGTTCCGTTGGTAATTTCGCCAAGCTTCATGAATCGGGAGCTAGTACGAGTGATGGCGGTCAGGTCGTTCTTGAATTTGCTATACCGAGGGCAGAAAACAACTATGAACCGAAAATTTCCAGTTGGCGATTCCACCTCTACACTAAGGGGTGGGGCAGAATGCAGAGCTTGATTCCCTTCCTGGCGATGGCCGCTACACTACCCCTGGAGCTGGTGTGATCAAGCTGGATAATGTTGCAGTCAGGCATCCAGGTGCTGTCGCCGGACTTCAGGTGGGTCTCGGTTAGAAGGGTCACGTCAATGCTGTGCTTGCGGAGAACTCAGCAAGCTCAATCTTCTTTGGTCTTACAGAGCAACCATTCCGGGTGACGATAGCTAGCGGTTTAGACGCCATACTAGATGATGAACTTTCCACGAATTTGGATCTTCTCGGGCTTATTACGGCACTTACGACGAGCACTGGTCATGTTGAAGAAGATGTCCGTCCATACGCACCAAATTTTGAGTTCAAGTTCCAGCAAAATGAATTGCTGAATTGTATCCAGAAAAAGCAAGTTTTGCTGTCAAACAAGTTATCTATATTATTTTGCTGATTGTTCCAGTTAACAGAATTAAATGTCAAAATCAAGCTCGGTTCTATCGTTGGCTGCTGCGAGCTATGTGATAATTTTTCAGTCGGTTGAATTATTGATAAGTGCACACCATAAATATATCACTAGAAAATCAATAATGCTGCGGAAGTCAAGAAGTAAGCGTAAAATTCAAACTATAAGCGATTTAATACAGTTTTTCTTAAATAATCAATATTTTTAGGGGTATTTGCTTCTCAAATAA